ATGGCTTAAAGTTCCTCCCGGAGGACTTGTTCCCTGAATTTTTCCACCCTTAAAAATTCGACAACCTCCGCCGGGTTTGAACCCGTGTACCTTGAGTCATGAGGTGGGAACGTTACCCCTAGACTGCGGAGGCCGCTTTGCCACATGTAAATAAACTGCTAGTATAATGACAACCAGCTAGATAAAAATGGACGTACAGTCAATATCCTAAACGTAGCATACATTAAAAATACCCCAGATGGCCACAAGATGTAGGTGAATAGTCAGTTTAGATCTGAGAGGTATGTCTTAGCGCACATATGTGCACTAAAGTATGTTTCAACATCGAAGATATACATGCCACATACATGGTCTGGGAGTTTCAGAATCCAGTTTTGTTGCATGGAATGAATGAATGAATGTATGTATAAGGGGTGGGCCCTCTCAGCCCTTGCACTGTGACCTACAGTGATCTATTGTGCTTCTTTTGTGGCATGGAACTTGCGTGACAATGACTGTTCCTTATAAAAATACACATCACTTACTTGCTGTGCAGATTGCAAACAACATTTGCATAGAGTCAAAGAAGAAGAACATTACTAGCAGGGAAATAGACGCTCCCAAAGGCAAGCACAATGCTTGCATTGTGTCGAGAGTCTGAACATCTGGAACATGAAAAAAGAAAAAGATAACTAATGGGGATGCCTTTCAGTATGACTGGAGACTTCTCTTCGGTTTTTCTGGGGCTACCCACTTAACTGTTATAAATCCTGTTACACTGGCACTGTAAACCAACTAAACCTAATTCACCAAATGATTTTAGTTAAAAAAATAACTTCTGAGATGAATTCTAGACAAAAAGTTCAGTGCAGTGATTTCAATATTCAGACACAGGCAACTTCAAATATATCGGTCCTGATTTACTTGGAAAGAAAAACAACATTAATATAATTACTTAAAAAGTCATATTAAAAGATTTCATATTGTGAAAATATCACTACTATTGTTGCTCTTTTCAATACAAGTTGGACGTACGAGGGTCAGTCAAAAAGTTCCCGGAATGGTGGTATAGCACTCTAATGGTAGGACATACGGCAACGCTTACCTAATCACCTTCAAAGTAGGACTCTTGTGCGCATAAACACTTGCTCCATCAATCCTGCCATTGTTGGAGGCAGTGGTGGAAGGCTTCTTTTGGAATCTGCCGGAGCTCAGCCGTCACATTCGATTTGATGTCCTCCATGGTTGGAAAACGTGTCCCCTTGAAGCCCGTTTTCAGAGTAGGGAACAGCCAAAAGTCACTCAGAGCGAGATCCGGAGAGTACAGTGGCTGAGTGATGACAGGAATGTTTTTCTTGGCGAGGAATTGCTGCACAAGCAATGTGTGGCTTGGTGCATTATCGTGATGCAGCAACCACTGTCCCTGCCACTTGTCGTGCTGCTTCCTCCAAACCACATCGCGCAACCTCTGCAACACTTGCACGTAGAAATGACCAGTAACAGTACCAAATTCTTGCTCCAACTCCGCAATGGTCATTCTTCGATCACGTCGAATCAGTTGTCGCACTTTTCCAATCATTTCTTCGGTTCTGGATGTCGAAGGTCTCCTGCTGCGCTGGTCATCCTCTAACGTCTCCTGCCCATTCTTAAACCGGGAAAACCAGTCGCAAACTGCAGATTTCTTTAGTGCGGTATCACCGTAAACTTGCTGCACGGCCAATAGCATCTCTGAAGCAGATTTTCCCAATTTGCACACGAACTTGATGTTTGCACGTTGTTCGAACTGCGACATTGCGCCGAATGATCAACACTCACGTCTAATTCAAATGGAACAGTAATGACACTGCACTCTGAAACCTGTCCAGACCTGCTGCGCCTGCAAGCAGACATGCTGAGCTTCCCACCACAACAGTGTGTGCGCTATCTTACTGCTCGTTCTCCGTCTGCAGGGGAATTCCGGGAACTTTTTGACTGACCTATGTACTTGTACAACTATGCTGCAGTGCAATCCCCTAACATTTTCTCCAGGTTTAATATTAGCTCAGCCTAATATTTATGAAACCTGCAAAAAACAATGGGGGAATACAATGTAGTACAGCTGCTGGTTCATCTTACATTAAGAAGAACACCACCACCACTACCACCAATAGCAGCACTATATTTTCCTCTAAATTTTCACGTAACTTCTGGATTGCTTCTTTTTCACTATCTTCTGTATAAAAACAACATACTATTATCACCACCAGGTCCTGTTGTTGCTGCTGGAAGGCCAGTCAAACTCTGTGTTCGTTCCTTCTCCTTTTCTCGTTCGCGGGCCTCCTGCTCCATATTCAATGACCTGTCAAAAATTATATTCTTTATAACAATCACACCACACAAAGGCAATTTTGCACCTAGCACTGTCATGCTATCAAACCTAAGACTATACTCAAAGTAAAAGCCTGAAACAAAACTGAATGGCATACAACTTATGAACCACTTCCCACATAGCAGTTGAACCTTCTCCAAGGCTCTTTAAATGCATCCCATGTATTAGGCATATATTAATTGATACCCCATGCAATAACCAACTGGAAGAAGTGAGTAAAAAGGCACGCTGTTCTCACACGTCCAAATACACGTATATTTCAAACATTTTACATATTTGTTGCTACCAGTAAAGTAAGTGGCTTGATTCCCTCTAGGTTTAACACAATACTTTTTAAACAACATTCACCTGAGAATGGTAGAATATGGACTAATATACCAGTCTGTCTTTACCACTCACAGTTGTTATTGAATGGACTCATGCTCCTGGCCCAGGAAGACATCAATCACAGTGCCAAGTAATCTAACGGACAGGATGCCTCAGCTACTTTAATCTCAACCACACCTTCCAGCAATCTAACCTGTACTCACAGATAAGTCTTTGGCTGTAGAGTCATAACAGCATAATGATTATCTCTCTAGAAGGGGGAATGCCATGATCTCATCCCACAGTACACAGTCATGACAGACAAACTTTACATACTGTGACAGATGGCTATAAGAAAAGGAAATTGCTGCTAGCCAATGTTGTGGCAGACACATTTCCACAGTAAAGAATCAACACACAATAGATCAACTGCTGGAAGTGGTGTTTTCTATGCAGTCTGCACCAAAGCTATCTAATGAGGACCCATGGGAAAAGTTTGTCAGTAGAAGGCAGGAGTCAGCAGTTAGCAGTTTGTTGTGAGTTGCAAGTGGGCAGTGACAGTTCATGCTTGACTGTGACGAATCTCTATTGTTAGCAGCTGCTCCCTAGTGCCAACTGGTAATGACAGAATAACAAACAGAAGATTTTGTGTGTGCTGTAGTTGTAGTGATTTACAGTGTGTGTAAATTAGTGAGACTGTTATACTCGTAATCAATTGTAGGTACCAGTTAAGCACCCAATTAACCAAGTTATCAATTAAAACCCCATGTAGAATCACTAACATATGACAATATGGTTTGGAAGAAAAGCCACTACCAAAATTCAAGGTTAAGTTAAAGGAAAGTTCAGTGTTTTAAGTTGTGGTCTGATTTGTTTAAAGTGCTGACAGTGATGAACAACCAGTGCAACTGAGCAGTCATTCCATCAGTGAATATGGCAGTAATTAAGAGGTACTAAAACGTAGTCACAGTTTCTTACTCAATATCCTCCATTCACCACATATGTGACTCAGCAAATGGATTTTTATAAATTTTACAGAAACTTAGGGAGGAAATAAATATACCACAGCAAGTGCTCCATCTTCAGCAGGAGGAAAGCGTCAGACTTACCATATAGAAAATAATGTTCTGCTATGCAGAGTCAAAGATTAGAAGTTTTGTAGGAAACTTTGTTTTACAAATATTTCTTGCTATATTGGCACAGTTCTTATGAAGAGGCATGTCAGAACATAAGCCTGGAAGGGTTAATAGAAAGGCTTTCCCAGTGGCAGAATTGACAGATCTGGATGCCTAATTACATGGTACAATCTTCTATGATTTGGCCAGTAAAAGTTAAGAGCCCATGTTGCAGGCAGTGTAAACTCAAATATGTCACATATGGCTACAACATGTCAATGTCTTGAAGTCTGAATGACAGCACCCTCATGTGATCCATATAACTTCAAAAGTTTCAAAATTTGAAACAGACTTTTCAGGACACTGCTTTATCACAGGCCATAGTTCTGGCCTCCATCTTCAGGGTATAAGGGTACTCCTCTACTCTGAGGCAGCAGGTTTCTGCAAAATGTTGGTAACATTCCATCAGACTGTATGGTATCGCATCCCAGAAGATAGTAATCTTCTATGTCAGCATCATGAGAACCTCAAATCTTGAATGGCCTTCTGGTAGTTTCTGGTAATCAAGAAGTGGAAAATATCGCTCAAGGACGAAATTCGGAATACAGCTGACCACAGGGGAGACCGGGAGAAACATCACATGCATCAAAAACTATGATCAAGGACGATTATAATTAGCATACACTGAGTATGAGAAGCATCAGACATTATTTCACCAAGTAATCTGTTCCACCACCTTACACAATGAACTGCACATGATGATGGTGTGTTGCCTCATAGCCCCACAGAAGAAAAAAAACAAATATGAATGGAATCATGCTGATCATCAATTTGAGAATGGTGACCCTTACTATAGTATCTGACACAGTGATGGGCAATGAGACCAGCCTATTTGGGGGGGGGGGTACTCTATGGTTTTTGTCTGCAAGAGCGAACTATACCGACTGAGCAACTGCCACTTGTCGGCAAAATTAGTGTCAACTTTTGCAGATAGAGGGTGTTGCACTGTCAGTGCAATGAATCCCCACATCCGTTAATTTCGGTTTTCTAGACCAGAGCCGCTATTTCCTTGAAACAGCTCCTCAATTATCCTCAAGGGGCTGAGTTTGACCCCGCTCCTGACCAACTATTTCTCAGAAAATCTGCTAGTGCTGGGAATCGAACCCAAACCTCTGGATTTGTAGCCAGGAACTTTGACAACTATTCCACAGAGGCGGTCATGAAGTTTCACTACCATGTTCAAAAGACTAGACACTACTATAAGCCAGAGGAATGAAATGCACATCCTAACAGGCTACCTCAGCTCCCCCATACATCTTCATGGCACAGTGCTTACCTAATAAAGCACAGGGTTAACTTTACCTTTACCAAATACAAAATAAATGTAAAATATTTCTCTACTGTGTCACAGCTCCTCTTCAATCCCATGAAGAATCTGATCTATTATATCAGAATTAAAAAAAAATGATCTCCAATAATCTCATCTATGTTAACTTTCAGACAAGAATTCTGGAAATATTTAAGACTTAATAGTAGCAGTTTTATCACATTTTTTCTTTTTTCTGGATAGGTACAATAACAGTCTATACTGTACTGCTATCACAGTTCTTATTTATTGCAGATAGGTTGAATTAATTGGAGAATCTCACAATGTAACATTTTATCTCCTGCTTGGATCAGATCTGTCAGGCTATGACCAATACACAGTAATTTACACCAGAATGCTCATTCATTTAAAACAGATCTTTTGGTTAGAAGTTTTAACAATAGGTGTACCTCTACAACACACTATGTTGCAAGGTCCCAAAGTGTCGGGAAAGAGAGGCCCGCCCCATCCCCACTGTCCAGAAAGGGTTGGAAATAACTCAGTTAGTTGTCAAATAATGTTCCAAGACATATGTACTTCTAAGAAATATCAGTAAAGACAATTTATTGCAGAGAATAATTGTGGCCTTCATTATTTTGCCATAACACATGGCAATGGAACTTCAGTTAGTCTAAAGTTGTTTTCCCACACAAGAAGGTCCATAAATTTACATAATTTTGGATTACGATTGGAAGTCTTCTTTTGTAGCTAATAATTAGGTGTTCATCTACTAAAATGATCACAATTCCTCAATACACTAAAACATGTATGATATTCAAACAACAAAAACTGCATCATTGCTGTGCAAAAATATCCTAAATACCTTCTATGAATGTGAGGAAGACTTTCACCTAACCGCTATACTTTCTAACTGCCTTAAAGAGTATGACTCTGTTCTTGATTAATATGTATATATTCTACACTTTCACTAACTTCAAGCATGCACAGAACATGTACTTAACAACCTCCAAACTTAACACCCAGGAAACCATAATCATAAGACCAATTTATAAGCAGCATTACAATGAAACTGGCAAAACACATGAACAATAACAAGGAAATATGGCACTGCAACATATTTCATGGTTCCTCCAGAGTTTAATTTATAAAAGTCAACTTACCTGAAGCTGCCATATACAATAAGCAGAATGGAGATGAGAAACGTTGAGACCCGCGAAGAATCCATGATGGAGTAAGCCCTAAAGAAAATAACAGTTTTGAAAGCTGAGATCTCAAAGCACTCACCTAATGTACAAACTTAACCTCTCCCTGTCACCCTAATATATCAACACACTTTTTCACTGTAATTATATTTGTTATGTTTTTTCTCCCATTAGCACATCTGTTTTTATGGTAAAAAACTTTAATATTATGATCCCTGAAAATATCTCCTTGCCTCTAACCTATAAAAATTGTGAACTTACCACTGATAATCCACTTGTGTGGCCATTGCAAGGACGGCCCCTGGCGTCGCTAGCACCTGCAATAACCAAGGGTCAATAGCAACAATAAACAGCTGTCATATCCAATTTTGGAGAGACTTTCGAAACACTTTGTGTAACGCATTCATGAAACCAATATCAGCCACATCGCCACACGTTGCACAAATTTCGAATGCTTAAGGCCGTACACACCACCAACGGATTTTTAATAACATGAACTAATTTGCTTCAACATAAATACCAAGTATTATTATATACAGGCTTGTGACATTATTGTTCCCATTTTTATCGTGAAAGTCCTTCACAGTTCCAGATGTGGAATCAACTTACCTCAAACAGAAATCTTCCTCCATAGAGGACTTCTGGTGGCACCCATTTAATTCTTCCAATATCCGACTTAAAATCGCCATGAATTTGTCACGTTTCTAAAACTTTCTGCGAACATGAATATTTCGCAAAGCGTTTCTACACCTAAAAACCAAATTCAGCCATCTTCGTACATTTGATCACGTGAGAAATAGTCCCATATCGATCAGAATTTTCACCATAAATTTATTTCGCAAGTCTATAAATACTTGAAACATATACCAAAATATAATCTTGCTGATTAAAATAAGATGCACCAGAAATTTCACTCTTAATAATCATATGCAAATAAGCCTAACTACGATTGCATTCCTCCGCCACCCACTTTTTGTTTCAATACCCCATTCTTGGGACCGCTTAGGACAATGTGAACTATATACATACACAGCATACATCCCACATCCATAAACCATTTGCATTCCTGTACGTACTGCTCGTCGCTACCACCTTACAAACCTCGCAACAGCGCCCCCCCATCCCCCGCACACGAAAGCAATCAATCGCTCATATGGAACCTTGCAAACCGGAATCCTGTGTGGCGGTTCTTTCATCTATTGGTTTTTATCTCCCACCTCTAGGGCTACCATGGAATTCTAATATATACATATACACACTCACACACACTCTCTCTCTCTCAGGGATCCTCACATACAAGGGTGGATAATGAATAAGAAACTCTTAAGCTTACATAAAGGTCGATTTTTTTTTCTTGTGTCTACAATAGTACACGCCTCCACAATATTCAGATATACGTAACTGGTTAGTGTTTGGTAGCACACTGAACGTTGAAGCAGGCCAGAAAACATGGATTGTGGTGTAGTGTTCAATTCAAAGCCAAGGATTGGGGGTTTATCAAGTTTCTTTAACTGTAATAACCATTACATAAATGCAACCTTTTGCTATGTCTCTTCAGATTTACAAAATAACCACGCTCATTTTTGACACCTAAAAGAAGAAAAAACACTGAAAATATGTCCAACAAATTTCCAAAATAATGTACACTTGCATCTCCTATGTATACCAACAGAATTAAAATTACATCTCAATATTGTGAGACACAATTATTTCAAATTGTAAGCGAAATTTCACTGAAAAAAGAAATGTACCACACAAAGTAGTGGTCAGGCATCCAAAATCAATGCAGTATGAAGATTTCTTCATAATATGATCATCATGGGTTCACAACTCATTCTAGGGAACTGCCCCAAGAGATGAGCAGCTGGTGAGTAGTAATGTCAGGGGACCAGACTTCAAACCAGGTAACTCAAACCTTCTGATGATTCCACTCAAAAGTCAATGGGCCTTCCCCTGCTAATGGTGTCTTGGGAATAGTCCATGGATTTAAAACCAACAAAAATGTCGCCGAAGCAGTGCCTGTAGTCTCAGCTACATTTTATTCTACAGCACTTAACATATTTTCTCTTGCAAATTATGTGGAAATTGTAACAAAATATCAAATTCCTTAAAATCAATTCTGCTTACAGTAGAAAATGGTTAAAAATCCATGGACATCAATGAGATCTAAATAACACGAGGAAAGACAAGGCTGCCACTAGACATCCCTCATGACAAAAACAGAAGTATCACACACAGAAAACTTCTACAGCACAAGAGAAATATCATTTTAGCTTAACCTTTTTTCAGCCTAAAAATATCCTGCACTAACAGATTGTTATGTGCTTTGTTTTGTATTTTTGTATTGCTGTCAAGTAAGAAATCTGATTAGCATGACTTAACACAAGTCAGGCAACACAAAAATTAAGCTGAGGTATCAACTCCAGGGCTGAGCTGAAGATTGGGGGTGAGGGAAGGGGGGGGGACATTCCTCTATCAAACTACTACAGAAACCCTCAGGCAAATACCTTTATAAACTAGAGGATGTGTTGGTTCCGTTAAGTACCAATAAATTATTACACTCAACCCACAGAACTTCTCTAACAATAGGGGACATTTAAAATGGTGAAGGGAGGCCATTTGCATATAATACTCACAATAATACATTTCCGACAGAAAAATAAACAGTTTTAACAACTTGCTCATTGACTGGAATGATTGCTAGGAATTACATAAAAAAAAACTGCAGTGGTGACAAAACATACAATGACCTACTTATCTGAGAAGGTGTCAACCCCAGAAAGAATGTTTTTACTATAGGTGGAAAATATTTCATTTCCCTTAACCCTGCGCATGCTCAAAAAGAAGCTATATGATTTGTTAATACTGCTGCAACATAGTGCGAATTAATTAGCCAACTCCCAACTTCTCTTTACAAAAACTGAAATGCTGTCATGTGGACACGGAAAAGAACTTGGAAATGTAATCGGTGTATTTATCACTTTAATAAAAGTGGTGGTGAAATTAATTATTAGCAGTGTTATTTTGGAACCCCCCCCTCATGCCCCAAACGACCGAGCAAGCAGTCATATTACAGAAACCTCCCCCACGGAACATTTGTAATATTTTATTCATTTTAATATGTTGTGATTTGTGTCCATGTTCACTAAGCCATCATTCCGTCCGTCAGTTTGTGGTAGATTTCATGCGAACGGTTTTGGCCACCGAAAAAAAACAAGGTGAAGATGTTTTCTTTTCAAGTTTTACGTTGTTGCTTGTTTGTTGTTTACGACGTTACGTGGGTGTTGTTACGACGTTACGTTGTTACGATTGTTTTACGGCAGAGAGTTACGACACATCTTGGTCTTCCACATCCTGCAACTGTTCCTTCTGCTCTGTTTCACCTGCAAAATGAAATTAAAATGTTAGAAGAAAATACCTCCAGTAGAAACTACTCTATACTGAGCAATTAGAGTTTGTTTTAAATACTTAAATACAGTAAAATCCCCATTTAAAATGTACTTTGCAGCAAGTGGGCTAAAGAGTACACATTAAAGAAACTTAACTATGATATATTTGAGTTAAGGTCACAGGAATTTGTCTTCAAACATGGAAACAAAAAATTAACAATATTACATACACTGCATGATTTATGTCTCCAAACTTTTAACTGGGAAAAGAAAACATACAGAAATGTGGAAGGTGGGGGAGGACAGGTAGCAGTGACAAGTTGCTGGCCAGTCATGTCCTGAATCATACCATCTCCCTGCATGTCAGAGGTCCAGAGTGTGAGGTTGTCTCGAAGGAGCTGCATGATGAGTGTAGAGTCTTTGTAGCTCTCCTCACTCAAGGTATCTAGCTCTGCAATTGCATCATCAAATGCAGCTTTAGCCAGTCGGCATGCCCGGTCAGGCGAGTTTAAGATCTCATAGTAGAACACTGAGAAGTTTAAAGCAAGACCCAGCCTAGATGGCAAAGAGAACATAAGCATAAGCAGAACATACAGCACGTTCATTTTCAACTGACTTGTTCAATAATGCCTGTGTAACAGCTATGGGCGTTCAACAAATTATCAATTACAGAAAAAAAATCAGACATCATTAGAAAGAATGTAATACTGAAATTTTCAGCAATTCTGATAATTAAACAACAAATCCTAAAGTAAAATACAACTGAGAGTTTCAGCCACTTCAGAAATGATGATTTATGTAATGTGCATCATAACCTTGTTACTCTCTTATGGAAGATTCTTGGTAGACACGAAACACCTCTTCTACATTTTTTCTGAAAACAACTGGAACAGTAGGCGGGTGGCATTTTCTGAATCTCAAAACTTTATGATGTTGACTGAAATAAACAGGCAACCGAGTAAATAATCTGCTTACCTAATTGGGTGTGTGGGTGGGAGTTCCGTCATGGCAATGTCACTTGCTGCTTTGTATGCGAGCAGTGAATTCTCTGCAGCTTCTTTCCTGTCATTGCCCGTGGCAAACTCTGCTAGGTATCGGTGGTAGTCACCCTTCCTAAAATATCAGACCAAAATGAATAAACTATTACATACAAATAAATAATATCCTCTGGAAGAAAATGTACTGTCTGGCTAAAGGAAGTTGGAAGGTACATCAAACTTAAGAAAGAAAACACCTACAAATTCAACTAACCTCTATTTATGTTAATTCCCAACAATTTTAACACTGACCAAAAGTCAAAAACATAATGTCTGTAAATAATGCTGTTCTGCACAGTTTTACAAAAAAAANATACTTCAACGTAGCAAGGGCTTATGACTCTTCTTTCTCCAAATTATTGTGGCAATAATATGACTTCTCTTCTGCTATGATGTAATGGTAGAGACAGAAATGCCAGAATAACTACTTATCAGATGTAACTGTGTACTAAAGCAGGTCATACCGTGAAGTAGTTCTATTTGTTTTATATATTTCTAAGAAGTATTTCAATAGTTTTCTCATAGTGGAAATACAGCAACATGTTATGAAAATTACTCAAAAGATTACTGCCATCTGTTCTTGCAGATGGAGCAGACTAAATTCTATTATGGCTGTAAGACATCCAGTAAGGAATTCACAATGTTTTGAGATGGTAATGTTCATTCTCTCTTGCAGGAAGACTTTGAGAATCCTAAAAAGTACGCTGGTGTATAAAGGCAATTCTACTTTAACAGAAATTGTAACTCATGACTAACTTTAATCCTAATATCCAAATCATCTTCAAAGGAAATATGGCTAAGGGTGCAATATGAATTTACTTTGAAGTGACAATTATTTTGACAATCATGAAATATAGTGTTCATAAATATGCATCTTTTTAAAATACTTTCATTCTGGCATTTACTTCAAACTGCCTTTATGAACTATGAAAATGTCTGAAGCACAGAACACATGCCAACACTACACAAACACAGAAACTGCACTGTTTATAATTTTGGTTACAAACAAAATAGCCTTGAAACAACACCAAATAACAGCAGAATATTCTATAACCTGAGTGTAGTAGTTGTTGAAAGGTCATAATGCAATATTTTACACTGTTCATTCTGGAAACAAATCTTACATTTTGTAGTAGAATACTCTCGATTCACCAGTTGAGGCGCAGGGAATGAGATGTTTAACCAGCACACCCAAGATGTCAGAGCAAATGTCTCGCAATTCCTTCTCCACCTTCAAGAACAATGAATTTACATACTGGTTAAAAAAGTCAACTACAAATATTGGGAACAAGCAGCTGTGTGATGTCCTTTGAGAACATTTATTTAAGGAAAATATTTACCATATATATTCGTTCTGATGCTGAAAAATCGCTTATATAACAGATTAACTTAATGTTTTATGTAAAATATCACTGTAAGAGGAATTTGGTGACCAGTCTCTTTAGGCCATTTGTAATCTGGTAGTGTTTATTAAGTCTGCCTGGTCCACTAGATCCCAAGAAACAATATGAAAACAATTCAATGGATTTTAATGAAATCTGATATTACAGAATTTCATGAAAAACTGTCATACCATTTCAATTTTCATTTCATCAGACATGTTTAACAATGACTTTACATGAAGACCTACACACTTTTGAATATGTATTGTAAGATTATGTTTTTACTTGTTTACTTCATTACATGAAAGCAACTCACATGCAAGTAAAACCTTAAGAGTACTGTAAACTTTCACAAACCAATATTTGTTTGTTACACTTTTATGTTTCAGACCCTTTCTATGGAATTCTCCTACATCTTATATGCTCAAGGTGTAACAGGGTATGTACGAGTTCTCTCAAGTAAAGTGTCCTTCAGCTCTTTCCCTAATCAAAGCACAAAAACAAACATTACTCCTTGTCTACTATCAAACAATATCAGTAACAAATCCATATCCCCTTTCTGAATAGTCATTTAATGTGAGATGGAAACAGCAGATCTTTCAGAAATCTCCAACTCTTTTTGGTAGCAAAAACTAAACGAAGAGTCTGACAGTGCATTCTGTAATCCTAATATTACGGATACTTATGGAGAAGTTTTTGGACACTGCTGACTTTAAATTGAACATTCCCTACGAAACAAATCTGGAAAAGGGAATGGAGATTTTCATTCTCCTCAACCAAGAATATGTAAATGAAATACACAATGTACAGTTTATTGCTAGATTGGTTGCCACAGCTGATATGGCATGATTCTCATATAGACATGTCACAGAAGCTGATAATTCATAGTACACTTTTCAACTGCAGGTGAACTTCCTATGGGCAGTACCTCAACTCAGCTGGTTAGTCACCTGGCTTTCCATTGATGCAGCCTGGGTTTGACTGCTGGTCAGGTCATGGGATTTGTGATGAACAAGGCACTGGGTCAGGTTTCCCCTGGCAATTCCTATTCCACCAACTACTCCTATTCATTAATCGCCCTATTATCAGTGCTACAGTCTTGACTGTTAGCATCATTAAATTAGGAAAAAGACACCCTCTGCTCTTCCAAGGAGTGTGTATGATTCACACTCTTTTCTTCAGGGTTCCAGGCAAATAAGCCACAAGGACATAAAAAAGGTTATGGCAGAGGTCACAATCCTGGACTAGTTCATCAAAGATTCCATCTGATGCATCTATACAACTGTCTGCAGTGTGCATCATTGCATTACCTCATATCAATTTTTTCTTTGCCACTCAGTTCATTGGGGGGGGGGGCAAACCTCACATAATGTTCAGAATCTACCACATCATAAAGAAACATGGGCAAAATTCTCCACACACACTAAATGCACACCAAATCCAACTTTTTAAATCATGCAATGGCACTTCATGAACAGCACAGGCACTTCCTGTGCTTCAGTATATGCTATTGTGGCTTTTTACATTACCAAAGTGAACCATGTCTTTTCAGAAGAAAATGTACGCTCTGGGTCATGAAGTTCCTTGAATACAAATTCCTGAAACCAATAACAGTGCAAAATTCCTGCTGGATACTTTCAAGGCAGAAAACCATGCACAACTGCATTTTGTAACCTTAGCAACTCCGTACCAAAGTGGGCTGTAGTTTTGGCCAACCCACAATGAAGCGGCATAAGATGCAACAACTTCTTTCGTCTAGCCTCTAACCAAGTACTGACATCACCTAAGTTTTCTTCATTCAGTAAGTCTTTTTACAGGATTTTTATTTGAATAACACTGATCCCACAACATGCCATTTTGTTATGATTTTGTAAACTGTTACTTTACATAACACTGTACTTTGAGGTTACTTCCCACAGAACATTTTACAGCATTACTACAATGAAGAAAACTGTAAAAAGGTATCATATATGAATACTTTGTGTTCAACACCACATTTACCAACAATTAAAACAGTACATGTACAAGATTTGACAATTTAATTAACGGAATGGCTTCAGTGTGTTGCTGGGGTGCTGAGTCAGGCAAACTCATGCACCCAAGCACGTTTGGACAGGTTCCGATCTGCATTTACGTGAACTACTGACTAAATGAGTTGTTCATTCCCAAGCAGCAGAGGAAGAAGTATGTGTCCGTGGTATACTGTTGGCAGAAAAATGAGTGCCAAGAATCTCAAGCAGAGGATAAACATAAAAGTTTTGTGTGAACATTGGTAACTGTGTTAGTGAAACATTAACACTATTAATAGTGGCTTATGCTGAATATGCTATGAAGTAGTCGAGGGTCTTTGAATTGTATAGGTGGTTCAAGGAAGGGTGAGAAGATGTGCAAGGTGACCCAAATGGGCAGCCAAAAACACAAAGAACAGATACAAATGTTGACAGAGTACAAAGAAACGGTGAATTAACAGTGTTATTTGGAAGAGTTGACAAGGTTAAGGGAATGTGTTTGGAGGAAAAGGCCTGAACTATAACCTGACAAGTGGATTCTCTACAATGACAATGCCCCTCAACACGATGTGTTCAGAGTTCACAAGTTCCTGGCTAAGAAATCCATTACAAAAACGGACCATCCACTTTATTCACCTGACTTAGCCCCCTGCGATTTTTAGCTCTTTCCAAAATTAAAAAATTCCCTGAAGGGACAAATATTTTGTGACATTTCTGGCATCCAAAGCAACGTGGTGTTACTACGAGGTATTTCAAAAAACGATTTTCAAGACTGTTTCCGGCAGTGGCACCATCGTCTCACAAAGTGCATAGCTTCGTAAGAGAGTATTTTGAAGGTGACAGGAGCCGCTAGCGTGCAGGTAAGCAAATTTTGCTTTCACAGGGCCATTCTGGAAATTAAATTGTTGCACCTTGTATATGTCTGACAGACAACTCAAAGCCGAACAGGCAGTGCCAGTGATGTACGCCTGCAAGAGTTGGGTGGCCAGAAGTGTACATGAATTGGCAAACAAATTTCTAGCTGGCCAGTCTGAAAATAAATTGCACTCCCTGTATTACAGAAAATAGACAAGAACATTCTTTTCCTGGAATAAGAACTTGAGTGACATAGTCCTTAGGTTTGGAAGGTACAACAGTCATGATTATCTGATCTAAACAGGACCAATAGGTGGTCAAATTAACAAAAATGTCAAATAATAACAAAAACAGGGTAATTTAAATGGACGTAATGAAAAATGGTTTTCAATTAATTACATGCAGCACAATGTAAACAGAACATACAGATCAGATAAAGTGGAATGCTGGATAACCAAAGGTTGCATAATTGGGATTCTACTGGCAAATTTATGTTTACAACATACAGTGAAACCTCGCTTAATGAGCATAATTCGTTCCAGAATCTTACTCATAATGCGAAACACTCGTTAAGCAAAACAATTTTCCCATATAAATTAATGTAAAATACGATAATGCGTTCCACGCTGAAAAAATGCTAACATTTTATATATAACGTTTATTCAAAGAAAATTATATATACATTGTTAAGGAGCGTGAATCATCTTCATCTTTTCTTCTATGCGGAATGAACCAACCTGGAATGCGAATTTGATTTGCAGAAAAAAAATCGAAATAATTAGTTTATTATTTATGATACATATCTAATTCTTTTTTACTAGAAAGCTGTCTAGAGAAATTTGTTTTTGCCGATGCTTCAAAATTTGGTGAAAATGCGACACAGCATTATCATTAAATAAATTTATAGCGCACATAGCCACTGCCTTATTGGGGTGATTTCTCTCAATGTACGATGCAACAGTTTCCCATGCTTTCAGCATTTCTCTTATTGCGCCAGAAGATTGTTGCTTTGCTGTTACCTTCTTCTCCTCCTCCTCTGACAAACTCTCCTCCACAACTTCTTGCTGTGAAACACAATGCAACTCCAAATTGCTGATGCAGCCCGAGTGTATGTGCATGCTAGATCAGCCATGCTCACACCTTGTCCTTGCTTTTCAAAGATTTTATGTTTCATTTCTACGGTTATTTTTATTCTCTTATGGCTGTCTTTTTGCAAGGGTTACTGAACTTTGCACAAAAAAAAATCACAAATAATATGTCTGAACACAAGTTTGGAAAAATGTGTGATCACAAGCGACACTAAGATGCTAGTGGAACGAGTGCTAAACACAGACTGATGCAGCAAGCGCACAATCTGGGACTTCCCCTCTCGTCACTCATTATGCGAAATGTCGCTCATTAAGCAAGTCATTTTTTACAATTTGTTTTGCTCATTATGCGAATTACTCATTATGAGAGGTGCTCGTTAAGCGAGGTTCCACTGCACATATATTTGCAAGCAAATTCACCGCCTAATATTTTGTGTCCTACACAAAACAATTTCACCAGCTGTTTTGTCCAGATCTCTAAAGGGAAAAAACAAGTGCCCGACAAAGTGTTCTTGAACAATATTTGAACATAAGGATAAAACTGAACTTTAAGATATTATATAATAACGCAATTCATGATTTATATAGGCCACTTAGGATTGTGTAGGCTAGTCAAATCTAGAAGGCTTAAGACAGATCTGAGCATGTGTGTGGGGTGGGGTGGGGGGCGCCCAGGGACAAACACAAGAATTTTGTGGAAACCTTGAAAAACAAAGGCCTGGAAGATGAAGGAGATGGGTTTATGTTCAGAGGCTCCTAAACATATGTTTGGGTAATTCCTTGGTAACGTTTATGTCTCTCTTGAATCCTAAGAGCACAAGACATTTCTAGAAAGTAAGAAGTGTGCCAAACAATGTTTTATTCAGATTTTACTTTAATTATAAATTTCTGCTTCCAAATATGAGGGACTAGTTATTTCTTTTTCCCATCTACATTACATCCAACTGCAGATAAATCAAAGTTAAATACACACCAGGCATATTCCCTGGCCATAAGTGGGTCCTTCACTTAGTTAATTTCAGTTATAAACTACAATTTTAACAAAATGTGATTTCCTACAAGAATAACCGGCAGCCAGGGTGGACTTCACCCAACCTCTACCCACAGACCCCTCCCAAGCCTGTTCAACAGCAAATTCTACCGTAAGCAGCCAGAGGTACTATGTAAACATGATTATATAATCTGTGAAAGGATTAATAAAAATTCTCTTCGTGAAGAAATCTACTGTTATTGTCAGTAAATTGTAGAGCCTCAAATTTCATATGGCTTAAGCTGCTTTAAAAGCACTGTGGGCTTTACAAGCCTGGTGAATCTCGTAGACTACGTGCCACAGTTCACCAAATTAATAGAACATCTTACATTTGGAAAATAACTCTCAGGCTTGCTTCCATGCATGCCCCCCCTCAAACCATACACATAGATATACCACAATGAAAAATATTGTGGACTGGATAAGGAAAGCCAAGAAATTCTCACTGTAACACAGTATCACACATTTGTGCTCGCCATATTCAACAAAATTCAAAATGTTAAAGAATGTCAATCTCAATATTATGTAAGAAGTGTGAAAAAATTATACTTATTAGTATTAAGATTTATTTTTGATGGGCAAGGTACAAGATCAATGGGTGGCTCCCATTGCAGCCAAATTATATTATGGGTATTATGTAACAGAAAGAATTATTTCAGTGCATTACCTGTGATCTGTATGTTCGGATCATCTCCAATTTCTCCTCAGCACCTTTGTTTTCCTCTTTTTGTTCAATGGAGCTGATTATCCTCCAGCTGGCCCGACGAGCTCCAATGACATTCTTATAGGCCACGGACAGAAGATTACGCTCCTCAACCGTCAGCTCCACATCCAGTGATGCTACTTTCTTCATTGCCTCAACCATTTCTATAAAAGGAAATACTGAAAATTGTACAGAATATACACCAAGAACATGGTGAAGCTCAATACAATCTCAGCATTCAGACTTGACAAAGATCCCTCCAAAAACTGACATCAATGTCACTTATAAGGTGGGTTCTGAAGCTGTCCCCTAAAACCTGCTTTACAGAGGATCCATTGTACATCACATCAATTCTGCACAAACTGCTAACACATGGCAAATACACAAAAGAACTTCAGTCACACTGGAATCATATATGCCTTAAAGCTGAAACTGTAACAAATATTCAAACACATCTGCAAGCTTTGATCACGTTCTTAGATGAACATGTTTACCTGTATACATGAGCAAACAAGTGATGTCACATTTTTGGTCATATTTTGGGTCACCCTAATAATCAACACTGGTCCACCTGCGGTATCTCAAACACGCAGCTGGGAATCACTGGTATTGTGTGTTCGCGTGTGAGAGGAACAGAATGCTCTCACATATGAAGCACAGAACTGTTTCACATTGGTACCACTGCTGCCTTTGTTACACTGAACTTGTCCATGTCCCATATATTGATTTAGTAATTTATGTTTGCAGCTGATATCAATCTCCAATAGGAGGACATTCCTTAGATGAAATGTTCAGAGATTCAAAGAGGAGAGAGTGGCCATTCAATGAGCATCATATATACAGGGCTTGCTGGTACACGGAAACATCACAAGTCCTTGAGTATGTACGAATTAAAACACATACTCCATTATGAAGGAGACAGGGATTTTACTGTCCTTTGTAATATGCATATCTGGTCTTAATGTTCAATTATGGCAGACACATTATTTATAAACAAAAACTGTGTGGGATAAACTGCACTGAGGCGTAAATTTATTCTCTCCTGCATTTAATTAAACATACACCACATCTGGAAAATGCTTCACATTATGAGATGTACTTTGTAACATACCAACTTTTTAACAAAGCATAACTTTAAGAACTGAATGCCACTCCAGCATAGACACACATTTTTAATGGTTATAACAGGTCAGGTCAGACCAAAATTATATTCACCCAAAACTTTCAATTATGATATGACCCAACAACAAATTAAACAAAGCAAATAAATTACTTTGAAACAGGTACAATGACAAGCAGACCACTGAGATGTGCATGGGAAGCATCCCATTCATATCAGTTTGTATCACTCACTGCATGGCCAACTGTCATTCCACTAATGTATGTGTATTAACATCCAGCGAGCAGTTCCTCTGATGAGTCTGTTGATTGTTATTGAACACACACACAAAAAATGCAAACCACATGTGACAACCAAGGTTTATGCCAACAACCACAAAATTATGTGTACTGCCATTTTTAAGCAAAACTTACTGATTCAATTTTGCTCTTTCATTAAATGCTCTTAATCAGAGACTAATTTTTAATGTACACCTTCAAAGCCATCTTACTCCAACAAGATATACAGTAGGTGCCAAAATAAGCAGTACTGAAACTCGGGCATCTCGAACGTGCATGTGCGTTTGTTGACGGGGCATAGCTCCAGCCGCAAGTGTTCCCAGTAGTGAAAAGGTAGTTATGTTGTGCAGTTGTTGGAAATGGGTCTGTCGACAGAGGAAAAAGTATTCATAGTTGAGTATTATTTCCGTTCATATGGAAGTGGTCGCCAGACAACTCGTTTCCTTGGCTTTGAGAAGCCAGATGTTATTGTCCAGAAACCACTACATAGTACACGTGTGATGATATGGTGTGCCATCTCAGCACACAGTATATTAGGCCCCTATTTCATTGAGGATGAGGAAGGCGGACATGGTGACTGAACCATTTCTTCAGGGTCTGAGAAGGTTCTGTCATGCAAGGGGCCTTCACATGAATAGACAGTGGTATCAACAGGTCGTCTTTTCATTTCAGTACTGCATTTTGGCGCATACTGTACTTCTGTTCGAATGCGTCATATTAAGAAGGCAGACTAGCATTTTCAAATTACTTCAGTAACCACACTCCTTAAGCCTTTCATTGTACAGCAGGCCAGTTTTCATGCTAAATGCGCCTTTTACCACATTTTTTTTTTGTTTTGTACTTTTAACAGTTTGTGTCTTTATTGTTAAGGGACTAAGGAAAACCAAAGAAATTCCATGTCAGGATAGTTGATCTCTGGGCTGAGATCTGAACCTGGGAGCTCCCAAGTATAAAGCAGGAATGATAACCACTCAACTGTGAGATTTGGTGTTAATATAATAGATTCCTTCAATTGCTGTTGAGTGATAATTCAGCTAACTCTGCACTTTCATGCAGCTCTGTTCACAATGTCCTTAATTTAAAATAACGTTAAAATCATAATAAACTGCTATGTTTAACTTTATTCATTCTGGCCCATCACACCAGTTAATTATTATAATATGATCTGACAACACCATCCAGTGCGACTCAATATATATTTATATAATGCCTTTACATGTTTTGGTCAGTTATGACCATCTTCAGAAGGCAATAACATGTTAGGGAACTACTACTTTTAGATAGATCATAAGTTAAAAATATATTATTAATGTTCTTAATATTTAAACATAAAGCAACTGTAGCCGACGTGGATAAAGGAAAGACTACGGTCACAATATACGAACAAGATCTAGACAAAAAAAGTAAACTCTTTCATTAAAAGTAAACACATTATAGAATTATAAATGGACCTTACCAGAAGAAAATGCAAAGAACAGCTCAAAATGTCTTAAGGCAATGTAAAAACAAAATAGACCCAACAAAAAGAAAATACATATTACAGATGAACCCACAGGAACCCAAGTTAAAAGCAAAGATTAAAATACACAAACCACTGGTAATGCTTGCTAACATTCACTCCAAAATCTTCTGTCTCCTCTTGTACTGCCTAAAAACATAAAAATTTGAATACTGTCATGTATCCTGGTAACACAACAAGTAATTAATGGGTTCCAGATTAGACGAATGGATTTACTTCATACACACCAGGTGGAACTACAATTAGTTGTAGCACCATCTTACTGCAACTATAACAACACTCTAAAGGTTACTGTAACTACATCACATAAAATAAATACTTCTAACTTCTGTTTGCCTTTTGTCTTCTGTTGGGCAGCTCTCTCCCTGAGGTAGGTTTTGGTCAAATCATACAGAGATCACCTCCTTCAACAGTAGAGTTATCACGTTCTTTGCTGTTACTGTTGTGTGAACAGGAATGTTTCTGTATGTTGCCTAGGAATCGATATGACTCTGTATGCAACGCATTGCTTCTTCAGTTGTATTCACTGCTGTGGAAGAATGTTCCAACAATTTGCCATCCAGCAGCGGCACCTTCTGTTGCCACAGGAATGTGCTCAGTGAAGTCCCGCCCAACAGATGGGCATTTTGCAGCTTTCAGGCGTCATGTCACAATATACAAAATTATAATTTTGTTTGTGGTTCTGTATGAGAGTGAAACTTGGTCTCTGACATTAAGGGAGGAACATGGACTGAGGGTGTTTGAGAATGGGGTGCTGAGAACATTTGGGCCAGAGATGAAGAGCTGGAACAGTGGAGAAAAGTGAATAATGAGGATGAGATGGGCAGGAGATGTAGCATGGATGGGGGCAAAGACAAATGCATATAGGATACTGGTGGGGAAAGCCAGACAGAAAGAGACCACTAGGAAGACCAGCATGCAGGTGGGTGAATAATATTAAAATGGATCTTAAACGGGATGGGATGGGCTAGATCGATCTGGCTCAGTACAGGGACCAGCTTTTATGAACACAGTACTGAACCTCTGGGAAGTTCTTGAGTAGCTGCACAATTGGCAGCTTCTTAAGAAGAGCCCAGCTCCATGAAGTTAGTATTTGTCAGTGCTTAACTATAACTGGCTGTTTTGCTCTTACCAAGCATTTTAATAAACTAATGATCTGAACTCTATTATTCCTACATGACTATAAGCGCCCCGCTGGCAATCATTATCAGGGTTATTGCTGGAGCCTTCTCAGCTTCCACAGCAGTACTGTGTATACTTCAAAAGTCCCCTATTTGTTTATGGAGTGAGAACAGAAGTACTTAAAATTGTCTGGTCCAATAAAAATGAACTGGTAAAACAGAGCTTAACAAGACAGGTATCAGAATTAAAATTTGAAGGAAAGAGACCTATGGGACAACCCAGAACAAGATATCTTACCCAGGTATTGGAATACATCAGTCAGTGAAGTTATGGTAAGAAATCAAAAAAGAATTAAATGGCTGGAGACATTTCAACCATTAATCCTTAGAGAACAGAGACAATCCTATGTGAGAAGATTAGTTAACACTGTCCACAGTAATTTTTTAAATAAACCAAAATACGCAACATCCTAGTTTATCTTTCACAAGTGGCCGTGTAATTATAAATTTAAACATGGTTATGAATATTGATTTTCATAATAAGGCATCCCTATTTCACAAGCCTTTTAAGTCCACGTGCATGCTATAAATTGTTCATGACAGAGGGGTGGTAGAATCACTACCCTGTTCCAGTTGTGTGTGCCTGTAGAACTGCAGAGAAAAAGAGATACAAGATGCAGGAGAGCAGTTTTTGCTTTGGCCCATAGGTAGACAGCCAGGCAGACAAGGGTAGGGTAGGGTAGGGCAATGCACAGCAAGCTTGGCAGATCAATACTTAGTCAGCACAGGGAGATCCCCACCCCCTCCAGTTGCCATGGTAACAAATTGTTTGCCCTGAGTCTTGCTGGCGCCTAGCCTTGGCTGTGTGCTACTCAGACAGGATGTGATGTCACATTTCCACCCCTCCTTCCACATTTGTAGCAGATAACACCAAAGAATCCATATCACCTATCATGAAGGTTCTGATGTGTTGTAGTACACAAAACGTAATCCCACAAAATCTCTACAGCTGAGTTAGAATGCATACTTGTTACATGACTGTACTAAAATATTAAACGTACAAGCATAAATACTAACTTAATATTTCTATAACGAAAACTGGCAACACTGGTAATATATTTAAGTAATGCCACTCCCACTTGCAACTTGTTGGGTACTTTGACCATCATGAGCGTCATATGCTAAAATATAATGCAAATAGGCGTTTCTAAATACGAACTGTAACGAGGAGTTTAATAGCCTTTCATTACTACAGTAACGTTCTTGCAGCTTACCTGTAGGTCTGCTATGCATACGCATTTTGCCAAGTACATTAAATCTTAAACACGATTTTATTTGAAATATTTTTTTTGCAATTTAAATGATAAACCCTATCACTCCTTTACATTTCGCCGATGACGCATCGATCTTTTGGGCCTGGCCCGAATCATTCGATTCCTATAAATTTCCTTACAAGAAGTCTGCAACTACTAATTATATCTACCCATGAGTGTAATTCCATGTTACGCCCATGCTTATGTTTCAATTCCTCCTACACAAACTCCTAGCATATCAGAAATAGTTATGTATTCGAATACTGATGCTGTCATACGGTCAGTGGCAGCGTCAAATCATTCAACCTGAAGTCGGCTATTTTATAACACATATATTTCGATATCTAGGGAATTTTATACAAAATTCAAAGCTTACCATCATATCGTTCGGCTTGCTCCGCCAGTTTTGCTTTGTAAACATTATCCTCTCTTTCCGACATGACGGATGAATTGGGATTTCACACGCAATGCACAAGACGACCACTATTAGAGACACAACTAAGATGGCCGCGCCCGCCAACACTGAAAGTAGTTCGCCTCAAAGGAACGGTCCATTTGTGTTCATCCGCCAATTACGTCACAGATATGGCTAAGAATATTTTCACTTATAAAAGTATCCTACAAGATTATTATTCGGATGTAACTGTGCTTTAAAAAGTTTGGAATTAATAAACATGTTTTTCAATAATGAATGAACGCGAGGTTCAAAAATGTTAACTATATATCTTAAAATGGGAAAGTGTAAGACGTGCCTCACAATAGCCGTGATCGTCTAGTGGTTAGGACATTGCGTTGTGGCCGCAATAACCCAGGTTCGAATCCTGGTCACGGCAGTGGTCATACGACCATTGGCGGCTGAGGCTTTTTTTTTTTTGTTTTCTTTCAGCATATATTTACGGCCCCAATTTGTGAAGTACCATACGAACAACGAAAACTTGCACCATTCCTAAAGAACAATTAATTTAAAATTTCGTTTTGGCACTGGTTCTGCAACAAATGTCATCTCATTGATTCGTTTGTGCTGTCGCATCCTGCTTTGTAAACATATATGAACACGGGGCACAGATATAATTATACAAAATAATAACTTCTACTCCACTCAGTTCTTTCGTAATTTTTATGTACTTTTCACATTAAGATAGGTATTTAAACACCTAAACATGCAGCGTCTCTGTCTCGAAATAAGCTAGGATTCGGGTTGCTAAGTTTGAAGGGGGGGGGGATCCCGTAAAGCAGGTGGTTGATGCACTCTGCTACAAGCTCGATGGGCGTGGGTTCGAGTCCCGATGAGGTGTCCTTTTCTTTTTTTTCAGTTTACCTAATCCTTCTAGTCGCACTATAGCCCTGGGGTCGACTCAGCCTCTAACACGCTCTAAGAAAAATGAGTACCAGGAATGTTCGTGGGGTTAAAGGGCGGCCGGCGAATAAGGCTGACAAATTTACCGCCATCTGTGAGCCGACTGTCTAGAGTAGTGTTTATCAACCACCGGGCCGCGACCCGGTATCGGGCCCAGGCATCAATTATTCCGGGCCCTCGTTTTATAAAAAACGAATTTACTGAGCAGCGATCTAACAGAAGTTGAGAACCACTCGTCTAGAGAAAACGTGGGCCTTCACGGCTTGTTACAAGGATATTTTACCTTTTTCTTCTCTACAGATTGTGGAGCGGTAGAGGTATAATTTATGTGACGACATGCCCTCTGTTAATATCGGTTGATATTTAGATCAAACTGTCTGAACGGGGAAGAATAGTACGATCTTCAGTTTTGGCTTTTGGGATATAACGCCTTATAGACCCCTGAAAGTCAGCCGAAGTCTTGGTAGCAAATGTCGCCTCCATATTCATGGTCTAAGATCACTTATTATTTACCCTGAAGAATGGAGTCTACATGTTCCTCCTAAACGTCGGTAGACTCAAGTGGTACGAAAGGTTGACGAAGCTGTAATTTTGTTTTTATGCAGTTAATTGAGCAAGAGCTTGGTATATATGACAAACGCAACCCAGACTATGCTAGGCAGAACAAAATAGATTTGGCTTGCGAAAGAATTCTCATGAGACAAAGGAGGATGAATCCAGGTCAAGTTCTTTCGAAACAATATAAGTGACTCAGTTCAAATTGTCACAGAAGAACGGATGCACCCAATATTTTCTTTTCCTAATATTCTATTTAAGCATATTGTTGCATTAATATATCATTTATTTCATACATATTTCCGCCTTAAATACAATTTATTATCTAGTCACCCTTCTTCCAAACTACATGTTTCGGCTTCATACGGCCATCATCAGGTGTTTTCTATCTTACTAAAATTGTTGTGCTGTATGGCAAAATTTCGTATCGCATATGAACACGACATAACAAAAGAAACAAACTCCGTGGTTTCAGTCCGCAAGCGAAATATACCGACCGAGCAACCGCCGCTTGTCGGCGAATTTAGTGCCAACTTTAGCTGGTAGAGGGTGCCGCGTGGTCAGCTCAACGAATCCCCACAGCGTAAACACGATATTTCTGCTTAAAATTAATTGACCTTATTTAAAATGGCCGCGCCGTAGCTCAAGCGGTTAGTCGCTGGCTTCCCACCGCGGCGGCCCGGGTTCAATGCCGGGTCTGGTCAAGTGGGTTTTGTGGTGGACAAAGTGGCGCTGGGGCGGGTTTTCTCGGAGTACTTCGGTTTCCCTTACCAATCTTCATTCCACCAATTGCTCCACAATCACCCTCACCTATCATCTGGGGCTGGTACAATAGGCCAGAAGTGGCCGCAGTACAAGGGACTTAGTCCCACTCCACTAGCAATAAAAAAATAAAATAAAAAATAGTCCCACCCCACTAGCAATAAAAAAAAACTAAAATTAATTAACGTCCCGATGTTTTACGTCCATTCTTCTCTTCTCAACCACCACCACATCATGAGAGGATCATTGCAAAAGTGAACGAAATTAGAAATTACGATCGCGCACTTAAGATGATGTGGGCAACTTATGAAACATATTTTCTCAGTGTGTGCCTGCTAATCGGGAAACCAGTTTCCTGCTTGAAGTCTGCGATTTTACTCGGATATTGCGGTTTCCAGTTTCCTTGGTGTGCCCTCGACCTAAGGGCAACCGCAGTTTCTGAGAACTGTTATCTGCCTGAGTTGAACGCATGTTACTAAATGGGGCAGCAGAAAATGAGGAAACGGCAACGCAACTCGCGGAAAGATTGAGAAACTCAATTTCCAGACAACTTAGGACGCCAGTCTTCACACAATTGCGTTGTCGCGTGGTTTCCTAGTGTCAATTGTTATGTTTGAGCTTCAATGATACATTTGTTTCTGAGGATGTCACAGAACGTTGACGAAGCTGCAATTTTGTTTTTGTGCAGTTAATTGAGCATGAGTGTATATATATGACAAATGCTACCCAGACTATCCTAGGCAGGGCAAAATGGATTTGGCTTGCGAAATAATTCTCACGAGACGAAGGTGTTTGGATCAGGGTCAACAATATAAGCGATTCGGTTAAAATTGTCACAGAAGAACGGATGCACCCAATGCTTTCTTTTCCTAACATTGTATTTAAGCAGCATGTTGCATTAATATTCTGACAGAGTTTGGGATACCCATGAAACTATTTAGGGTGTGTAAACGGAACATATAGTAAAGTCCATGTAGGTAAATATTTGTCTGATAAATTTCCTATCCAGAATGGTCTAAAACAAGAAGATGCTTTATCACCACTCCTTTTCAACTTTGCTTTAGAATATGTCATTAGGAAGGTCCAGGGAAACCAGGTGGGACTGAAATTAAACGGGACACATCAGCTGTTGGCCTATGCCGATGATGTGAATCTACTGGGTGATAATGTAGATACCATAAAGAAGAACACACAAACTTTAATTGACACAAGTAAAGAGGTTGGTCTAGAAGTAAACACAGAGAAAACTAAGTATATGTTACTGTCTCGTCACCAAAATGCAGGGCAAAATCATGACATAAAGATAGGAAACAGATGTTTTGAAAATGTGGCGCAGTTCAGATATGTATTTGTAAACAACGATAACAGATCGAAATCCGATTCGGGAGGAAATTAAGAGGAGATTGAACTCGGGTAATGCTTGCGACCATTCAGTCCAGTACCTTTCGTATTCTTGTCTGCTGTCCAAAAACATATAAATTAGAATACACAAAACTATAATTTTGCCTGCGGTTCTGTATGGGTGTGAAACTTGGTCTCTGACATTAAGGGAGGAACTAGACTGAGGGTGTTTGAGGAGAATATTTAGACCGAAGAGAGATGAAGTGACAGGAGGTTGGAGAAAACTGCACAATGAGAAGCTTCATAACTTGTACCCTTCTCCAAGTATAATTAGAATGATCAAGTCAAGGAGGATGAGGTGGACAGGGCATGTAGCACGAATGGGGGAGATGAGGAATGCGTATAGGATATTGGTGGGAAAGCCAGAAGGAAAGAGACAACTGGGAAAACCAAGGCGTGGGTGGGTGGACAATATTAAAATGAATCTTAGAGAGATAGGATGGGATGTAGTGGATTGAACTGGCTCAGGATATGGACCAGTGGAGGGCTCTTGTGAACACGGCAATGAACCTTCGGGTTCCATAAAATGCTGGGAAATTCTTGAGTAGCTGCAGAATTGGCGGCTCCTCCAGAAGGGCTCAGCTCCATGAGTAAGTTGCATTATTATATCATTTATTTCACATATATTTCCTTCTTAAATGCATCTTATTATATACTCACCATTCTTCCAAATTACATGTTTCGGCTGTGTACGGCCATCACCAGGCGTCTTCTATCTTACTAAAATTTTTGCACTGTGTGTCAAAATTTCGCATCTCCTGTGAAAGCGGTATTTCCCGATTAAAATAAACTGACCTTAATTAGAACAGTTTATTTGACATCCCAATATTTTCCTTATGGCCGTCGTCCTCTCTTCTCACACCGTCTCAACTGATCTCAACTACCGTCATATTATGACAGGATCAATATTATTTTCTTCCATTGCAGAAATTAAAAAATACAATCATGCATTACGTCGGACGAACATACCCACTGAAGATGTGAGCAACTATACAAACATAAGTTTCCTCAGCGTGCGCCTGCTAATCTGGAAACCAGTCGCCTGTTTGAAGTTGGCGATTTTTCTCGGAAATTGCGTTTGCGTTAAGGTTGCCAGTGTCCTTGGCGTGCCCTTGCCCTTACAACTGACCGCAAATGACTACATGACGTTATAACCCGTATGGTAATTCCTCATAACCACTTCAGCGAGAATCCAAATGCAACACAGTGTGATATTTAGTTTAGTAATCCGTGGTATGGAGGTGTAGTAAGTAATACGTAAGACAAGTTCCGTGAGATTGGGTTATTCAGGTTTCAGGTTTGTTGTTGAACGTGGAAGGATAGGCTTTTGTGGAACCTGTGTATTAATTATGCTTAAATTAAACGTTTATGTTTTGTTATATCTAACTTCTCAGTTTGTATTTTGCCATGGGTATTTTATAACCGTTGATGCTCATGCTGAAGAATGTTTCTTTGACAAGGTGGAATCCGGCACGAAAATGGGTATGTGCTTTAGTAGGTCATATAAATTACACTTAAAGAAAAGAGGACATGTTAATGTGGTTCCTTTTGAAGTAGAAGAAAAATACAATATTCACATTCATAAATGAAGAGATGATAACATGTAATCCCGCATATGTGTTAAGTAGCTGTCATAATTCATTTCTCTTTCAGGACTAATGTTTGAGATTGCCGAGGGTGGATTCTTAGACATAGACGTAAAAATAGTGGGACCCGATGGTAAGGTAATATATCAAGGTGAACGGGAAACAAGTGGGAAGTATACATTTGCTGCACATATGGGTGGTGTCTACACTTACTGCTTCAGCAACCAAATGTCTACTATGACACCCAAAGTTGTAATGTTCAACATGGATATTGGGGAGTCACCCAAGGACCAGCCAGGTGATTCTTCACAAGGACATGGTAGGGAATATGTGAAGTAGTGAAACACTGCAGTCATTAATAAAGTGTCATTACAATATGGAAACAAACCATGCATTCCTGTAGACAGTTCTTAACAAAATGAAATTATGGTTAGGTGACATGTTACTAGAACATTCCAAAGAAATAGGGCTGAAGTATAAGCCAACATTACTAGCACAGGGTAGGACTTATATGCCAAAAGCCTAATCATTTATGATGAACTACTGCAGGTTTGTAGCAGGTCATGAACCTTGTATATCCTACTACTTTCTTAGTTTCTTAGATCCAGTAAGCAAGCTTGTACTTTAATTAAGTTTTAAGCATTCCTTCTTTATGTTGGTATTATACCTAAATCTGAGAATTGATGACTTCATCAGTGAAGTGAATATGAAGATCAGGCTTCTGGCATGTGATGTGTAACTTGGTAGAGAGGTACTTCCTGCCTTCATCTTCTGGGTAGAAGAATCCCCTGAAATATTGGTACCAATATGCCAAACTACATGATGTCAAATCATACAACACATTGATACCAGGGAGGTGAAGGTAAAGTAAAATGTAACAGTTACATTTGATAGAATATTGTCAGGCAAGTTTTATGGTTCTTACGTGAAGCACTATCGTATCAGATTTAAATATATTATATTCCTCATGTAAACAGTGACAAAATGTTTTATCACAGTATAAAGTTACCTACTTCAGCTGCCATGGACTAGGTCCTTTGAGCATTTCATTTCAGAATGCACTTCTGGAAGTCCTAGATCTTTTGACAAAGCTCCTTGCATGAGGACTGGCTTACTGTAAAGCCTTTGCTTACATAGGACAACATGAGACTCGAATCCATGATCCCAGTGTTCTGGTAACTGAAGACCATGTGGTTACTGATCACAAATATGAGCTTTACAGCATTTATCATTAATCGATGTACCTGAAGTAGGTGGTTCAGTCTCTACTATGAGCAGGAATATCTCTGGGTTGCACTTAACCTCCTGATAGGTATTGGGGACTCCTGTGGGGATAAAGCAGCCAGAACATTAAGCTAATTTCCATGTAGCACTGAGATGTAGAATGTACAGAGGCAGATCAGCAGATAAAATCATTACAATGTCAGTAGATGCAGTTTCTCTTGTGGAGAATTGTTTAACAAGTTCTGTTCAAGTGGCGAACTGAGCAGACATTTGTTGTATACTTGTTATGTTTAACAGTTTAATTTTAATATGGGTAAATTGTTTTGTTGAATTAATAGTGTGATTTTTTTCCACATTCAGATGACCACAATAAACTTCAAGATATGATCAAGGAACTGTCAACAACGCTAACCGGAGTTAAGCATGAACAAGAATACATGCAAGTACGGGATCGCATCCATCGAAGCATTAATGAAAGTACCAATTCCAGAGTGGTTCTTTGGTCCTTTTTTGAGGCCTTGGTACTTGTCGCTATGACAATGGGACAAGTTTACTATCTTAAACGTTTCTTTGAAGTGCGAAGAGTTGTGTAGAAGTAATAAATAAAATAATTTCATGTTCAGTGCAAGAAAATATCCAGCTCTACATTACCATGATTTATTAAAATTAAATTTTATCAGTAAAGCCATCAGCAGATAATCTTTTAACATGTTTGTGCAGCTTCCCTGGTTAAAGACCCATATCATTTGAGAATTTTTGTACCTTTGTACTGTTGTACATTATCTTAGGCCTTTCTCTTTCATGTCTGTTCTATGATCTGTGATTTATTTTGCCAGAATAAGCTTATTAAAGTTTTTTCTATATAATGCTGTGACAGAAATTTTCACATTTTCTTAAAAAGTAAAATATCTCAAAATCCCAGTAAGGTAAATGTGCTGTTGTGCTGAGTCTTGCTTTATTCTGCTGTTTTATTGAGATGTAACATTTTTACTCTTTGTATTATTTTCCTCACCTCTACCTTCTCCAGAACTCCCATTTTCTGCATTATTCTTGTTTTGTCAGAGTTCTTTTGACTCACCAATATCCCACATCTTTCTGTGAAGGAATATTAATATTTTATACATACAACACAAACTATTTGACCAAATGTTGTAGCTGAGTGCTTAATATTCCTACTTCATACTCTGGATAAGTTATGATTCTTGGTGTAGAGGACTCCTGTCATGGATGTCTCAATATACCATTAGCACATATCCATTTGTGAAAGGTGCCAGTTTCACTACATATGTATGGGCTGAGATCTGAACTTGGGAGCTCCCAAGTATAAAGCAGGAATGGTAACCACTCAACTGTGAGATCTGGTGTTACAATAATAGATTCCTTCCATTGCTGTTGAGTGACAATTCAGATCACTCTAGATATTCACTTCCGTCTTTCATGCATCTCTGTTCACAATCTCTCCTTAATCTAAACATTAAAATCACAATCAACTGCTACATGTTTCAGTGTCACTTGGCCATACTCAGGCAACTGTTCACTTTTCAAAACTGCCATACTGCACTAGTAAAAGTAAAGCTATCCCCGTACCAGGCCGTGAAGACCCATAGGGTTGTGAGACATTGAGGGTCCCACATTGTCAAGACAATTGGCTCAAAGTTGGCGGTAAGGTTGTCAGCCCTACGCGCTGGCCGCGCTTTACTCAACAGGAAAATTATTTAATTAATTCCGGTACTCATTTCTGTTAGAGGCTGAGTAAACCCCAGGGCCTAGTGCAGCTGGAAGGATTAGGTCAACTGAAAAAAATCCAATAACCTCATTGGGACTTGAACCCGTGACCTTCCACCTTGTAGCATAGCTCCTCAACCACTATGCTACCGTGTGCCCCCATGGCATGAGGGGTAGACTACAATTTGAAACAAGGAACTGCTGATACAAGCCTTGTCAGGTTAGTAGAATATAGTAGTAAATGCATAGCTTTACTCCCTATGGAATATAATTTCTCCTTGTCATAAAGTCATGTATGTTGAGGACAGAAGATACTGAACAGCAGATAATTTTGGAGACTAGTGAAGCAGTATCATTTGACAGTGGAAGTGAGCTTGATGAAGACACTACAGCAGCGAGTGATAACAGTAATACAAGCGGAAGCAGAGATAAAATTTTAGTTAATTCCATGACATTCTTGGGACTCTGATAGGTGTCCATCTCCTCACTGGACTGAAGATACAACAGGCATCCCATGTGAGCAAGGATTCTATAAGAATTACCGCCTTCATACTCTTCCTTATAGAAGTGATCAGAATGTCAAGCATGCAATGAAAGATCTCTAATCCACTCGTGAACAGTTATATTTGCCATTTTACAGTAACATGCAATGTAACCGATTTTCTCACATACTAAGACCTCTACAATTTTGAGACAGTATGGTCTGTCAGACAAGATTGACAAGAACTGTGACTGATATTGGAAAACGGGATCTCTCTGATTTGCTGAATAACACCTATGCTGAAATTTACAATCCATCTGAATATGTAGAAGTGGACCAAATTACCATGCTGTTCTAGGAAGAGTCACTTCACACAGTACGTTCCCATGAAACATGAACATTTTAGTGTAAATATTATGAACTGTGCAGCATGACTGGTCACACTTACTATGTGACTGTACACTTTGGGAAGAAGAGTTAAAAGCAACAAAATGACAGCTACACAGACATGTAACTGTGAAGAGTCACTAGAAAAGTGGAAAGGATAGGCCACAAGTTTTACTCTCTTCTTCACCCTCAGATGATGTCCTGCACACAAGACCTATCAACTCTGGGAGACAGAATCATAAAGGGATGCTGCAGAGCTTTAATAATTCGTTCATTCGTTCATCAGTAATCTGTCAAGATGACAGGTCCACAGTCTCTTCCAAAACAGTTCCTCCACTTAATGCGATCTAGAGCTTTCTCCTTCAAATGAGAATATCCTCTTCTCTCCCCAAGGTCATCCAGCATCTTCTTACGTCTTCTTCCTCGTCTTCTGGTCACTTCTATCCGCCCCTCTATCTTTCCTTCAATAACTTCTTTTAGAAGGCAGTTACCGCGTAAGATATGACCAATCCAATTAGCCTTCCGTTTTCTTATTTCGTGTAGGATATTCCTCTGCTCACTGATTCTAAATAACACTTCTTCATTTCTCACATAATTGGTCTAACTGATCTTCTCCATCCTTCTCCAACACCACATTTCGAAGCTTTCCAGGTGTTTCTGATCTACTGCCCTAAGTGTCCAAGTTTCAGCCCCATACAAAGCCATGCTCCAAATGTAGCATTTCACTAGTTTCTTTCTCAAATTTAAGTCCAATTTGCTGGTAAAAAGATAAGAT